GCTGCTTTTTTATTGCAGCACTTAGTCTGGACAAGCATACAGGCTCATGTTATAGGATTAGCACAAAAAGCCATCGCGCGTAGATCATGTATGCATTCGTATGCATTTCTGGGAGAGTATCTTAACATGCGGCCGAGCCAACCAATTAGAACCACACCATGATTAAAAAAACAAAACACATGCATGGTATCTGACGTATCGTGCGTCATCATTCCAGCAAACGTTTTGTTACGGCCCGTCAACTTGCTTAAGCAATGGAACAACAGAGACCACTCCATTCATTTTTTCCAGCTCCGCTTCAACTTCAGCAAACAATGGTGTCATCAGATACAACACGATCAAAGCGTTGTGAATCGCCACTGTAGTCATCAGAGGCGCGGCCAGGTGGACAAAGTGTGGGGGCTGTTGCAAGGAAGATTTCTTGTCCTCACCGACACCGAAACGAATCAGGCTTGGCGAAAAAGATGACCAAGACGACAGTGGAACTATTTTCAACCGGCCCTGCACTCCTAGGCGCGCCCCTGGCTGCGCGGTAAATTGCCTCAGGCAAAAACCGTCGCGTTCCATTAGACAGTGGGAGGACGCGTGAATAACTCAGGTCAGCAAGAGCGGCGCGAGATAGCCCTTTTTACGAGGGGGCCTCCAGCGCGCCGATCGCAAAAACACCGCGTGGGGATGACATCCTGCAGAGGCGAAAGGGATGGCGAGGGCCCACGCGCCTCCGTGGTGTCACTCATGCCACGCCAGACGCGTCTCTGGTGCAGAGGCGTGTCCAGCGCGCTTACTAGGGCGGGCAGCGAATGCTCTTGCTGATGCTGGAATAGTTCTCACCGTTTAAGGTGAGGTGGAGCGGTTAATCTGCCTTCAGGTTATGAACGAGATAGAACGGCTGAACCCTTCTAGAAGTGGGACGTTTTAGAATTTTACTTATGTGGCTACTGCTCACCTGCAAGCGTACAACGTTAAACTAAAAGCATAAAATAGCCTGTTTATAATTACCTACTGATAAATTAAGATTTCTGATAAAAAATATAAGAGATAAAATATTAAATATAGAATAAGATTCCCGTTTAAGATTCACAAGCATTTGCGAGGGGCACCTGACCATCACAAACATCTACAATGTCCATCCCTCTTTCATCGTTCCGGAGGTGACCCGCCCCTCGACACCTCTCACACAGCGTCCCGGGCGTTCCGAGTCCGGCTGCACGCGTGGCGGGGGCATACCGCACGTTTTCGCGCCGTCTGGAGCCGGCGGAGCGGCCTGCGCATCCCGCAGTCAGGGGAGAGTGAAGGGGGAGGCGCGGGGGGAGGGTCGCCCGGTGATGTCGACACCTGTTGACTCGCCCCGCTGGCCGCCGCCGCCTCTGCGCGTTTGGCGGCGAGCAGAGGAATGCGGGATTCGAGGGGTTGCTTCATGCGTTTGCGAGCGCCGTGTGTGCCCCGCGGCCCAGCCTGGAACGGAAGTGTGCTCAGAGATGTTGCCCCCTCCCCTCTACCCCAAACACCCACCCACGCACTCGCACCGTTCGAGAGTGCAGTTACTGCAGCAGATGGCGTGGTTGTTTTCAACTTGTCGTTGAAGAAGCCAACTCCTGGCTTCGGGTTTACTGCTCTCTGCGATCGGACCCCAGTCCGTCTGCCGGACTTGCTCTGGCCGAGACCGGATGCAGAAGGGACTGATAGCGGCAGGCTGCCTCTGGCACTAACCATGCGCGGCGCCGGCTCCTCGTAGAGTATTGGTAAAGTAACAGCTCAGCTCCATCTGCCTGGCCAGTGCTCGCTGGTTTGTCGATTAACGTTCTTCGTTTGTATTTGTATTGTAATGTTATCAACGCAGGTAATGTTGTCATTGTGGAACAAGCCTCAATGATATAACGGCGAGTTTTCTAAGCAACGCGGTTAGGCTCGTGGAACTCAGCGCTGAGCATGCATTTAGGTAAATGAGAAGGAGGTACCACTGCTCCTTCCCGGTTTAATTCCTATGCCAAGTTGTGCACAGGTTTGTTCACTGCCACACGATGGATATATATGTATATATATATATATATATTATATATATATATATATATATATATATTATCCAGATATCTTCAGAGCCCACAGGGTGATGTTTTCACGAAAAAGTTAAGAGCAAACCTGCTCAAGAACGTAGACTTAAGCGCAAGGTAGCGGGTGAATTGTGTGCTTCAGCAGTTATACCATAATTGTTTTAGCACTGGCGTTAACCAGGAGCGGGTCGTCGTAGGGACAAAAAAAAACATTGGGATATTCATGTGCGAATGATCGTTCTGTTCCGGTACACCTGGTTTAATCCTTGCCTTGATAGGAGTGTGTGTGTGTGGGGAGGGGGGGGGGGGGGGTGTTCGATGCTGCTCCCTTCCCTAAAGTGTTCTGGAGTTATCTTCCCGGCATGTCATGTTATCGCGCCGAAATTTTCGGTGGCCTACGGGACTTTCTTTGTGTGTGTTTTTGACCCCAAAAAGTGTGTCTCTCGCTTCTTTGGTTTCTGAGGAGCAACATTTTTCGCGGACACTACACGGCGACCTGCGGCCGGCGCTGCCGGCTGGCGGTGACTGACTAAACCGCTGATCGCATGCTCCACACACCGCCACTTTGACGGAGCTCTTCATCATAAATATGCGTTAAAAACACATCACTATATATCGACATGCTAAAAATTTAGTAGGAAACGCGTCTGTGTACCTTTCGTGCCGCTACGTAGCATGATTTTGTTATTATTGTCATGTAAAGCCGATTTTCAGGAAAGTTGACCTTTGACCAGGCACAATGAGCTCAACTATTAACCTACAAACTTGAAACGTATTATCAATGGCGAGATCGTGTTAAGTACAATTCAATGAGTCTCTCTGCGAGACTATACCTTTCTTTCTTTGACAACGGAATCGGGAATATCCTATCGACCCTCTTACCATCCCCCACCTATCAGTACGCGTTATGAAAAGTGCGATTCAGGGCGGGGTCAATCTGATTAACGTTCTTTGCAGTCTCACACTTAACGCAGCTTTTATTTTTTCACACACTTTTGCAACGCAAAGGCGAAGGACGATAACGTTTTGACTAGACAATAGTCTTGTCTTTCAAATGCTGTTTTGTAATTAGGCCCTCCTATTTGAGGCCAATGCTGCACGCGCACCTTTTCCGTGTAACATTCCGTGAAGAAATGTTCCCACTGCCGATAAGTCGACCATGAATAAGTATTGCGCCCCCGCCTCCTGCCAGATAAAGCATGAGTAAGTCAAGTGAGAACTTAGTGGGCGGACAGCCTATCCATAAAAATACAAAAAGGCTCTGAGGCGGTGTTCAGAGGTGGCTGCTAGAACAAGCACGAGTCATAACAGGTTTTCTTGGACGTTTAAGTACGGATAATCAGTTATGTAAGCCAGCCATCTCATCATGTGATGGAGGTGATATTTTTATTATTTCAACTTCCGGGGTGTATGCGCTTTACAGCCCACTTTTCGGCTGGTCGACAAGCGCCTAAAGACACCTCATTGGTGGATAGCTTACCAAACAAGACTGTGCCTCAGTTTCTTCTCCCGAACGCCGGGCAATGGCTGAGGTGTGGCTGATTCCATGGACTGCCTATGATGGTAAATGAAACATTTCAGAAACTCCTAAGCTCGGGTCGTGTTTTATCTGCAATCGTTCACGGCACAGACAGAGATATTATTGATTTTAGTTACATCATGCAAAGAAAACCGCGATGACTAAATGAATATCTAATATAATTAAGATGCATGTATGCATCCGAAAGTGCTTCAAAGGCAACGAAGCCGAGACCCATGGATGCGCACAACATCATGGTGTCAATTTTTGCGGACAAAACGAAACCACAAACCATTTAGTCGACTGGCTTGCCGGCCCCGTTAGCGGTACCCGCTGGCGCCGTTAGCCTGCCGGCAGCCTACTGCAGTCTCCGGTGTTAGCCACCAACCCCAAGTTGCATTCCCCGGCTTCGCTGGCCAACAATGGCCCGCCGCCAGCCGTCACCGGCGGCACTTAACCCGAACACAATGAGAGGTGCCGGCAGCGGTCACACGACCGAAAGTGCAGCGCGTGCCGTTGCATGCGTGGCGGTTGGGCCGGGCGATACTAGCTCGTATGACGTCACTCGGGGGACAGAGGACGTCACTGCCCTCTCCCTCGTGTCGGCAGCTGCCCATCTCTCCCCGCCGGCCTCCTGCCGCTTCATCTTGCGCCGACAGGCTGCAGCGTGTCTCTCCCGGTTGAATGGAGCGGAGGTTTTACGCTCTGCGTCTCGGAGAGGCGCGCCGCTTTCAACGGGCGGTGTTTGTAGGTCAGCTCAGTTGCATGTCAATAGCGCAATAGTGTTTTCTTTGCACAAGCACGTCGTTTAACCACTTGGTCGACCGGACACGTTGGATGCATAACGTACATCATGGACGCCGAAAATGAAATGCGTTAAAGAATGTTGTCTGTTTCGGAGCCGCCCTGCATTTATTGAGACACCAGGTCACAAGAGCGGAATGGCGTGTGCAGGTTGCGCAGCATGCTAACGCGTCCTGATTTCTTTGCCTGTTTTTTCCTACGGTGAACAATGGTCACTTGTTTGTTTTTGCACTTTTGCGTGACGAGAATGCAGGTTACCAGCTTGCACTTGTGTTTAGTACTTTTGGCAAGTAATAACGACTAATTTTCGGTACCCGACACACAATTTAAGTCATGAAACGAACTCCATTATGAGGACGAAAATCTTCACCGCGGCCAGCACAACTGTGACTGAATGCCGAAATCACGGCGCACCTTCACGCAGATGGCGACCGAAGTACGCGGTCGTCAGCATATTTCCCCCTCGACCATCCTGCGCGGCGCGTCCCCTGCGTAATCCTGTATCCATGGCAACCGTCCGGCGCACCGGCCAGTGTCCGTCATGACCTTGCAAGCGAGACCCGGGGGTGAAGATTCCTCGCCGAGTGAAAGTGTGTATAAGACCCGGCCGGCAGCCTGCCGGCGTACTCCACGGTGGTCGGGCAGGCGCGAGGACGCGTCGAACGGGAGGACTCCGCGGACACCATGCGACTCCTCACGGTCAGTGATGAGGACGGGCGTGCGGCGAGGACGGTGGGGAATGTGTCCTCAGGGAAATGGCAGGGGGCATGGCGATCGTTGGGGATGATTGGACATGGGGAAATAACGCGTATGCTTGGAGCTGATTTGAGGTTGTTCAGAAGTTGTTCCCAGAATCGCAAGGTCTTTTACTCGGCGAGAACACTGTTGTGTTCCTTAAGTACGAATTGCCTGGGCCGCGCGACTAAACTTAACTGTTTTGGTCACTGTAGAGGTCTAAAACACTTCAAGAAGCGCCTTGTGATTGAAATGTTCATCGAAAATATCTTTAATACTTTGGGTCCATCGGCAATACCTTCGCAGGAAAAATGATTAGTCGTACTCATGGAGGCCGAATCATACATCCAGTGGCTTCTGTTTGCTGTTAGTGTGCTATTGGCTTTGCTGAATTCTAAACACCACGGTAGCGTTTGTAGACAAAAACAGTACCGCAAGTGTCGTTTTGGAAGTTACTCACAAGTAACCCTTGACTTTGAATGTCTCCGAGTTGGCCCGAACTACTAGCTACTGGTAGTGGAACTACTAGCGGTGACAGGATTTAGGTAACAGCTTCTTTAATAAATGCATTGCTTTGGTGTGTATAACTTCCATGCAAACCTTAACATGAATATAACGTTCACAAGGCCTGATACAAGTCAACAGTCCTTGCATATCTGGCTATAGTAACGCTCAAGCAAACTACCATGGCTTAATTTTGAACGGCGACCCACATTGCAAAAGTCTGTAAATGATCCGCAAACCTCTGATTGGCAAAAGTCACGGCAGAACTATATGATATAGCAAGCGCCCTGAGCATCGCTGTATGAAAAAGTAGTGCGCTGCGTTTCCTCGGCGCTTTCTTTTCCAGTGCAGGGACCTCTGTATCGCCAGCTTACGGTGCATACAGGTGTCCTGCTGACAGGTGAATAGAGGGTTCAGCCCCAAGTACGGCTAATGTTTTCCACACTGCCGCACCACCGAATGCACGTGATGGGAGGGTTTTATAGCCCCGTCTTAAATCATCAGCTGATTTAAAGCGTGTCTGTATAGCATGTGTAGTTACCCAGCCCGACGTTAAATAGCTTGATTTTCGAGGACGGTTACTGAAAAATGCATTCATCCAACCGCCACCAGGCAACTACCTCAGTGGTATCAGCTTCACCTGGATACTGCACAATTTGGAATTAAAGCTTTGACACAGGCTTTCAGTGGTTTTCAAAGCATCAATATCTCGCACCTTAATACGGCGCGGAAACCTTTCTGACACGGTCGTCATTTTGAAAGCCGCGGAATCAAGGGACAGGATCTGTTCGCAAGAATAGACGTTCCTTAGGGGTCTGAAAGTGAATATCGCCCTTACTTTCTATTAAATTTCATTCAGATCTTACTTCCTGCCTTCTGTTTCATAGCCCTGCAACTTGGTTGGTTTCCTTCAGACCTCTGATGCAGTTACCACGCATTGCAAAAAAAAACTTACCAGACAGCAATATTGTTGGGTTGGTGAAGTAAATTTGCATGCATATGCTGTTAGGTATATGCTTCCAAAAATTGCACTCTCGCGCTAGGTCAGCCCATCGCTGTGACTCCACGTCGTATCTGCCCCACCCTTCCCAGCGACGCTCTCGGCCAGCGGCACGCTCAATGGGGTCAGGAGGTCATCGCACCTCTGCCCCCGGCGCCCGGTCAACAGGATGGCCTGGCCAGGACGTGCTGCCCTTCCCCACCCCCTGCCCCGCCCCCGCTATCTGACACCCGCTGACACCCTGACAATCGCCGCGCTGACACTCGTGTCACGCGTGTCACCCGAACACGTGGATCGCATGGGAGAGAGGGAGGAAGCGCACCTAATGTTTCGCATTTAGGCGCTTAATGACGCCGGCATTTCGTGCCAGTTATTGACTGGTCGTAGTGTTACATGTACGATATGCGCCATAGAAGGGAAAGTGGCTTGACTCATCCCTTGGTTTGTTTTGTGCCATCATGACAAGTGAACTGACAAGCGCGATGTTTTGTCCTACGTTACATATGAGCCTTCCCTCAAAAACTAATCTTTTGACGGTATGAAAGTGATCGGTCTTTACACCGTCAGAATGGAAAGAAAAGACTGAAAAAATTGGCGTCAAGTCATCAGAAACACCTTTCGGAGGTGTGCTTCGACTGAGACGACTTTGAATTAAGACCACGACCGCGGAACAAAAATGTTTCGTTGTAGCATCCAGGCACCATGCAAATATGATGTGTCTTGCAGTTATGATGCTGTTTAGAGGATACCAAGCCATTTCGGCTTCTCGATCGAGGTGCGTGCCTTCTCGAATCCTTTTCTAATGCCCACACTTACGAAGATTTTCTTACTCAGTGCGACCGTAAGGCTTCCGGCTGTGGCATAACCATTTGCACAGAACTCGTGTAACGTATTTCTTTATTTTTCCTTCCGAAGGCATTTCTCATTGAATGAGAGTTTTGACTCACTCACTTTCATTCCGAACTCATCCCTCGTTGACTGAGTGATAATGTTCATTAAATTCAGTCGCCCTGATTTTGATCCCGAAAGCATTCCTCATTGAATGAGTGACAAATTCATGAAATCGTACCGTCCTAATCAAAATTCCTCCCGCTGCTTGGATTTTATTTGTTCCACTCCCCTCTAGCCCAAGCCAATCTTCGCCGGGAAGCCAAGCATGCGTGACCTATTGGGCCGGCGACTCCAGGACCCCAGGCACGTTGCGCGCATGTTGCGATAAATCACCGCGTGCAGACCCGCTAACACGGATACCGCATCCGCCGGCGAAAGTCCTCCCGGCCCCCTCCCCCTCCCCCCCCCCCCGACCGATTCATCACTCGATCTCCCGTCGGCCCGGCGGGACCCGTCCCCACCGCGCCCCACGCGCCGCCGAACGGAGGCGCGACCTCCGAGGAGTGACGCTATCTCGCCTTTGTCCCCGCGCGGCGCATGTTAACTGACCTGACGGCGCTGGCACTTGCGGCGCGGCGACATCCGGTGCGCACCCTTGGTGGCTTTCTCTCCGGACACCGACAGGGGGTTGTTTGTCTCGTGGGCAGCAGCAGCACTGGGTGGTCCACTCTGTGCACGGGGGGGAGGGGGTTGGTGACGGTGACAGCAGTGCAGGACTGCTGGACGGACAGGCGCTGTGTGGGCTTGCGCCAGACGCAGCCGATCTTCGAAAGAAACAGAACTAAGAATCATGATTTGTGATCTGAAGCTGCATGTCATGTCTACAACGGCCATGCAAAATGCCTGCGAGCGATCTGTGCATAGTAGCAAACTCTAGTTATCTTAATTCATTACCAAATTGCACGGCTTAACGCATGTTGTTATACAATTTTCACGAAGCAGCGTCCTGCCGTAAATCGCCCTGCTCCAACCCTGTCGGTGAACCATCATCCATCGCTGGTTAATGCCTATCAGCGTACAACTATAAGACACACCACTCAGCAAAACTAACAATTGATTCACAGCGGCGTTAGCCGCCGCTTTGTCTGGCCGTCACTGCTATTAGGGTGATATTGTGAAGAAGGAGTTGTCATGGTGATATCCGGTAGCTGTGCGTTGTACTTTGTAAATCCCGGGTCCGTGGGAAAAGTGTTGAACATTTTCCGAGTAACACTTTGGCTAGCAATACATCATGAAACATGTCTCCAATAATGGTTTCTAGCATCCTTACATGGCTCTAAGTACCATTTGTTACCCATGTCATGTTACAGACAGAAGCCACGCCTGAAAATGAGGCATGTATTATGTACAAAATCGTTACCAAGCGCGTGAGACTTCGCTCACATCTGACAGGAAAACGCCCCGCCCTGCGACACCATCAAAGGTCCTCAAAATGGGCACGCATCGCTGAGCAATAGATGACGAATGCCGGTAGGAGGCGTGTCGCAAGGCCATTCCAATGAAAAGCTTCTGATGCGCTTCATCCAGACTCACTGCTCGCTCCTGGATACACGCGATTAGGCTGAAATCGACTGTTAATTGACATCAAACGGTCGCTCCAGATGCGCTGAAAGGCGGCTGTCCGGTATTCTGAACACCCAGACAGCATCTGGGAAAAGACTGCGAATGGAGGCTGATGATTGGTCACAGGTGCGAGAACCCGGCGACTTTGATTGGTCGCGGGTGCGAGGACCGGTGACGTTTGTCAACGCTCACTTTCCCCTAGAATGCATTGTGACTTATTTCGTGGCCTTGCCATTAAAGCACCATCTCAGCAGCGTATTGCTGATTATCCCCATGTTTTTGGTGACATGGACGTTTTGGCATTCTGGTGCGAGATTCACAAGCAAATAGATCTTTTGTTGAAGGCCGGCCCTTGCCACTGATTGGCTTGCCACTTGCCAGCCATTGCCACTTGTTGTCAAATGCTAACAAGACAACAGTGAGTTGCAAACAAACTAATGCTAACTCTGCAGCGATATCAATTTAGAAGCCCACGCACTAGACATAATGCGCGCAGATCATTTGGAGTGTCCAATTTCTCCACCAAATCCTTCCAACTCTCTGTTAATGGATTGCTATATTTCGCGTGTAACTGCGTAACAAGCACGGCACGCAGCATGCACGGTGGCAATCCTTACGTTCCTTTAAAAAATATACACGGTCAGCGCCGCAGCAAGACTCACGTCTTTGGCACATGTTATCAAGGTGTCCTTAAGGTTGTGTATTCGACCTCCGAGTGAAAGGTTTAGTCATAGGCTCGCAGGTTCAGGCTCTGATCTCCGTGGCTCCTTGGTTGCGGATAGTTGTTTCCGAGCTATGGCGCCGGCTTAGGCGGGTCTGCTCAGCCGTCGCGTTCCCGGAGAGGAAATTCTCGTTCTGACCTTCGACCACTGGTGGAAGGCGTCGGTACCACGAGACTACCAGGTTGCCAAAGCTCCTTCACCCTGAAGATCTGACCCTTTCAAGGTCGCGTGAAGTAGGTCCCTGGGATGGCGTGTGCCCGTTCGGTTTATCCCGTATAGAGACT